TCCTGGACTAAGGGGCCCTCGGGCGTCTGGCCTGTTATCTATGGGCCGGACTGATGGGCTGTGAAGATATGAAGACCGAAGACTGTACCCGTGTACGGATGGGACTCTCCTTGGCGTGGAAGGCAAGCTTGACGAACAACTATGAAGATTTCATATTATGTAACCGACTCTATGTAACCCTAGATCCCCCCGGTGTCTATATAAACCGGAGGACTTAGTCCGAATAGGGGATACTCAATACTGTAGTCATACAGGCTAGACTTTTAGGGTTTAGCTATTACGATCTCGTGGTAGATCAACTCTTGTAACACTCATATTCATCAAGATCAATCAAGCAGGAAGTAGGTATTACCTCCATAGAGAGGGCCCGAACCTGGGTAAAGATCGTGTCACCTGTCTCCTGTTACCATCAACCTTAGACGCACAGTTCGGGACCCCCTACCCGAGATCCGCCGGTTTTGACACCGACATTGGTGCTTTCATTGAGAGTTCCTCTATGCTATCGCTGAAAGGTTTGATGGCCCCTTCAATCATCAATAATGACACTGTCTGCGGAGAAACTTTCCTCCCAGGACAGATCTTTGTGTTTGGCGGCTTCGCACCGCGGGCCAACTCGTTTGGCCATCTGGAGCAGATCGAAAGCTACGTCCCTGGCCATCAGGTCAAATTCAGGAGCTTGAACTACGTCGCGGACATCCGTGGAGACTTGATCTTCGCCGGATTCGATACCGCGGTAGCCGCTCCCGATCACCCCGATGATCATGACTTAAATCTGTCATCGGGCCGCATCCAGGAGATCGCTCCTGTAACCGCTCTCGCCCTAGAGCCGGAGCAGGTCGCGCCATCCGAAGATGGGAGGATTAACCCCACCACGGAGGCCGCAGATTCCACGACATTGGAGCCGCAGATGACCTGGTCTCACTCGATGCCTATGCCACCGGAACACCGGACTCGTCTCAAGTTGTAGGTTCCGAACCACGCAAGCCTGCGGACGCCGAGCTTGATCGTTTATCGATCTTCGAATTCAGCACCGCATACATCTTCCAGCACTCGCCTCTGGGCGATGTGCTAAACTCGTTAAAAAGTCTGTCCTTAGCGGAGGACTCTCAGCCGAACTATATCCGGCTCGAACTAGGGGCTGACGATGGGGAATTTCGCTTCCCACCCGCCACCCACTTTATAGCCACGGTCGAGGATTTGACCGACAAACTTGATTACGACTCCGAGGACATCGACGGTATGGACGACGATGCCGGAAAAGAAGAAGACCAGAACCCGCCGTTCCCCCGACGCTGGACGGCCACTTCCTCGTATGACGTATACATGGTGGATGCACCAAAGGAAAATAGCAGCAACGACAAGGAAGACCCAGTTGAGGATAAACCTTTCGAAATACAGTCCAAGCGCCGGTGTCAGCGGCGCCGCTCTAAGTCACGCCGCAGTAAAGATAGCAACACCAGCACAGGAGAAGATGACACTCTGGAAGGTGCCGAAGACAACAAAGACCCCGTCGACACAACAAACTAACAAGACGAACGGGAAGATGCGCAGGTTAGCCTTGTTAAACAGGCCACGCACAAAGATTCGAGGACGACAATTACCTTCCGCTCTCCGAGGATGAGGTGAGCCTTGGCACCGAGGATTTCATTGTGCCCGAGGAACCTCTTGAGCAGGAGCGCTTCAAGTGCCAGCTAATAGCCACTGCAAGGAGCCTGAAAAAGAAGCAGCATCAGCTTCAAGCTGACCAGGATCTGCTCAATGGTAAATGGACTGATGTCCTAGCAGCCGAAGAATATGGCCTCAAGCGCCCAACCAAAAGCTACCCAAAGCATAAATTGCTACCTCAGTTCGACGAGGAGGCGCCGGAGTATATACCACCATCGTACAATGCGCTGACCGGCTGGACAAAACGACAACCCATGCCGAACACCAGCCCGCCCCGCCTTGTCACTCAGGCAAAGGTAAATTCGCCCACGGCCATACATATGACCTCCGGCAGAACCTGAACAATAAAGTAGGACCTACCAGATCAATCTACGGATCGCGAGGACGCACCTCGACACGTGACAACGGCCACCTATTCGGACGTGACAAACCCAGTCATGCGCAGGCCGAACACCGCAGACAGACTTCATCAGAGCTGCGTCATGATACAGCCCGTTACAAAGGCCCCGCACACCCTCATTGCTTCACTGATGAGGTCCTGGATCATGAATTCCCCGAAGGATACAAGCCCGTGAACATAGAATCACATGATGGGACCACGGACCCCGTGGTGTGGATCGAAGACTTCATTCTCCACATCCATATGGCACGCGGAGATGACCTCCACGCCATCAAATACCTCCCTCTCAAACTCAAGGGGCCTGCTCGGCATTGGCTAAACAGTCTGCCCGACAATTCCATTGGCAGTTGGGAGGACTTGGAAGAGGCTTTCCTCGATAACTTCCAAGGTACATATGTTCGACCTCCGGACGTTGATGACTTAAGCCATATAGTCCAGTAGCCCAGAGAGTCCGCCAGGAAATTCTAGACAAGGTTCCTAACTAAAAAGAACAAAATTGTTGACTGTCCGGACACTGAAGCTCTAGCAGCTTTCAAACATAGCATCCACGACGAATGGCTCGCTCGCCACCTCGGCCAAGAAAAGCCAAAATCCATGGCGGCCCTCACGACACTAATGACCTACTTTTGTGCGGGTGAGGACAGTTGGTTGGCCTGTAGCAAAAACAATGCAAGCGACGCCGAGTTAAAAATAACAAAGAGAAGTCTCGACGCAATAGATACAAGCGCCGAAATAGCGGTGATAACACCGAGGATACGATAGTCAACGCCGGATTCAGTGGCTCTAAGTCCGGTCAGCGGAAGGAGCTGTTCCAAAAGGACAATTCGGGCCCATCCAGCTTGGACCGCATACTTGATCGTCCATGCTAGATTCACGACACCACCGACAAGCCTCATAATCATACAAATAGAGAGTGCTGGGTTTTCAAACAGGTCGGCAAATTAAACGCCGAGAACAGGGAAAAAGGATCGCAAAGCGAGGACGATAACGAAGAGCCATGGCAACCAAACACAGGGGGACAGAAGAAGTTTCCCCTCAGGTCAAAATGGTGAACATGATATATGCCACCCACATCCCCAAGAGGGAGCGCAAGCATGCGCTTAGGGACGTCTACGCGATAGAGCCAGTCTCCCCAAAATTCAACCCATGGTCGTCGTGCCCGATCACTTTCGATCGCTGGGACCACCCGACCAATATCCGTCACGGGGGCTCAACCGCACTAGTCCTAGACCCAATAATTGATGGGTTTCACCTGACTCACGTCCTTATGGACGGTGGTAGCAGCCTCAATCTGCTCTATCAGGATATAACGTGGAAAATGGGCATTAACCCATCAAGGATCAAGCCTACAAGGACTACCTTTAAAGGAGTCATACCAGGTGTAGAGTCCCGCTGTACGGGCTCAATCACATTAGAGGTTGTCTTCGGATCTCCGGACAACTTCCGAAGTGAGGAGTTAATCTTCGATATCGTCCCATTCCGCAGTGGCTATCATGCACTGCTCGGACAAACTATGTTTGCTCGATTGAACGCAGTGCCACACTATGCTTATCTCAAGCTCAAGATGCCCGGTCCACGCGGCATTATAACAGTCAATGGCAATAAGGAACGCTCTCTC